GGGGGGGGGGGGGGAGAGAGAATAAATAGGAAGTATATTTTTTGGGGGCTGGCTTTGCCAAAATAACTTATGGCCAATAATTTATCAATTACTCTTGTATGTTATTACCCAATGTCAATTTCTCAATAATTTTAGTCTAAAGGACTTACTTGGGCCGTGCCCAAAGATAGAAAAGATGGAGAGCTTTTGACAAAGTTAGTCGCTCGGCAAAAACTATAAACAGCCACCTAGCCTACAATAGCCAAAAATAAATAAAATATGTTAACCAGCATATTAAAAAGTACTTACTAAGAGCATATTTACTAGTAGCTTGATTATTGCTGGAAATTTACTACCATATTTGAATTGACTGGAATCTGCTATATATAAAAATATATTACTCTCATACTTGTAAATCATTAATTGATCTCAATCTTTTGTATTATTATCTCTTTAATAGTCTGATAGTAACGAAATCTCCCTAAATTTAATTTCTCTTTTGACTTGTGCTGGTTGTCTTTCTTTTGATTCTTTTGGGGGGGTTAATAATATTTTAAGAAGTCCACGGATTAAAGTTAACAAGAAACAAACTCGAAGTGTGTGTTTGTATAGTTTGAGAAGATTTTGTGAGAGGATTTATTAGCGCGTGGTGTCTCTTGTATCCTTATTAATCCATATTTCTTTATTTGATTTCATTGAATATTCAGTGTTGAGAAATGAGAGTACTCTTATCTTATGTATGAATAAACAAGGATTTAAGCCGTACACTGAACTTCTTCGAGTGATCTGATGATATAAAAATTGTTTATACTGACGATGTATATAACTTAAACTCTTGTTTTATTGAAAGATAGGGTCGAACCAAAACAAGAAAAGGACCAATCTCTCATATACAACACTTGTGTCATAAATAATGGAACCCAGTCGACCAAATTGCTATCACCATCTGGTAAGGGGACATATAATTATCCATTAGTTTATATTTTCTCCGTTCACTTTTACTTGTCCATTATTATAAAAATAAATTTTACTTTTACTTGTCACTTTTAGCATATCAAGAGATGATAATTTCTTTTTACCTGTTATACCCACAATATTAATTACTCATTTCAAATCATTTTCTCAAATTCATTAAAAATGTGCATCAATTAATATGGGTACCATGATAAACATGCAATTCATTTATTATTTTTTAAAGAGTGTGCAAAGTTTGTAGTAGATATGAAGGGAGTAAGTTTTATTAATCGGCTTTATAAAAATCATTAACTTATTTACGAACTAATTTAGCAGCAAAAAAGACAAACATTTGATACAAGATAACAAAGATATGTATAATACAACATTGAAAATGACCATATTACAAGCTTACAAAGAAAGAGCAAATAATTTAGAAAGTATGATTGATGCAACTACAACATTTGCATCAAAGACAAAAGTGTCTTATTGATCCTTTGATACCACAATAAAAATGCAAATTTCAAACTAGTATATATAAATACACACAATAATTTTCAATAGGTTTATCTTTTCAGTAGCTTTGGACATCAGCCATTATTCTGGCCAGTGTGTTCCGAATATTAGATGATTAAATAAAAAAAATTTAAAAATTCACCATCAATGTAAAAGGGGAGTAGGCTTGGCGCAACGCTTAGTCGATTTTCAAAGCTGGAAAAGATGGGGAGGGCGGGCTGCTTTCAGCAAAACAGTAAGCACGCCGCTGCCTATGACGTATGAACTCACAAAATTTAAATCCTGTAATTTCAAACTTTCTTAAATTAGAAATTAATAGAGGTTGAATATGTTTGCCCAAATTGCCAGTTCGAAGGGACAGCATTTAAGAATGTTTTAGTGACACCGTCGGTTGTAGTGACTTTAAAAGACAAAGGTTGGCCATTGAGATATGCATTGGATTGCCAATTGGCCCCCCAATTTCTAGACATTGTCATCCAGTTTGTTTTTGAGCCTTTAATTTGAACAGATTGTACAGATCCAGCCCCTCCTACATTGCTTATCATCAATAGCTCGAAATAGTTCCTTCCATTTATTGTAAATCTAACTCCACCTTTTTTCACGCAAGGAATCCTGAAAAAAATACCCAAATTTTCAAGTCAAAATGCAAAGTATTATATGGATAACAATTTGAATTCCTAAATTTATTGAAAATAACCGCTCTATCTTGTTGTAGGGGTACGATCTGCTACCTCCCCAAACCCACTTATGAGATTAGTCTGGATTTGTTATTGTTGTAATTTGAACAGACTTAGGGGTATAAAATGGTCAGGTTGAACTAAATTTAGTGGGCGTTTGGACATAAGAATTGTAAAATTCCGAAAAAATATGGGGAAAAAAATTCAAGTGAAAATGGTATTTGAAAATTAGAGTTGTGTTTGGACATGAATACAATTTTGGGCTGTTTTTGAATTTTTGTGAGTAATAATCTGAAGTAAAAATTTTGAAAAATAATTTTTTGGAGTTTTTCAAATTTTCAAAAATTCTGAAATTTATCTTCAAGTGATTTCAATTTTATGGCCAAACACTAACCTTGAGAAAAAAAAAAAAGTGAAAAACTTCTAGGAAAAAATGAATTTTTTTTATGGTCAAACAGGCCCTTAGACGTGTTAAATGGGTTGAATCAATAAACAAATGGGTCATAATCTACGCAAAACTTATTGCTTCAAGATAGGTAGATTAATTTGAGCTAAACAATATAGGTCATAACTCAATCTATCCAACTTAAATAATTTATCTGTTATTTTATAATTTTTATAACTACCAAATCAAGCTAATAAAAGTACTTTTTATTTATTATCATAACTATATCTAACCAACTAAACCTACAAAAATTATATTTATATGTTTTAATTAGTTCCTTTATTGGTCGATTTGGGTTATGTAATAATAACAATTACACATCAGTCCCAAATAATTGGTCTCCAAATTGATCCAACTTATTAATGAATATATGCGTAACGCGGTCCGTCCAAATGTGTAACGAACTAGACAAATTATATTTTCATGTACTAAATTTGACACACTTAAATTAAAATTCGAGAAGTAAACTAGTAAAATACCTTTGGTATAGGACAGGAACAATGCCACCTCTGTAAATGCCAATGTTTTCCCAAGCAGGTTGAGCCATGTCAAAATGTGGTCGAGGAGGATTGCACCATCCACCATTGTTGCTAGGAAGTGCATAATTTGGTGGACAAAAATTTGTGGCTGTAATTGTAACATATGTTCCTTTTCTGCACCATTTAGGATCTTGATTGTAATCACACATAATCTTGTAACATTGACCACAGGATCCTCCATCGTTGAATAATGCAGTACTCAATGCAGCAGTGTTTGTACCATACCCTGTTGAATACAAATTTCCATATCCACAAGCACCCCCTGTCCCACATAAGAAACAGAAACACAATCAGACCTCTTTATAACGGTTATTCTCTATAGTAATACTTTATTATAACGGCCAAGTCTTTTTAGAACTGATTTTTCATGTTATGTTATAATATATGTTCTTTATACCAGCATTTTACAAAAGAAGCCAATTTTTTTTTGGAATAAAACAAGGTTGTTATCAGTGGCGAAGCTAGGGATTTCTTCAAGGGTGTTCAAATTTAAAAGAAGTGAAAAAATTTCCGACAAAGGATATTCAATATGTATTATATACCTCTAAAACGTAATATTTTACCTGTGTACACAATGTAATTTTTCGACGAAGGGTGGTTAGTTATGACCATGTGGCTTCGCCACTAATTGTTATAGAAAAGTTTGACTGCATATCGTTTCTTTATTATCAAGATTCAGCTCATTTCTGCTTTTCCCTCATTTCATATTTTATGGCGATATTCGACAAGGTTCTTATCACATACCAAAAGTATGTTTTGAACTTGTAATTTTAAACATGTTATGATATTTCCATAATTATACGAGCATGTCATTACGAATAAAATACAATTTGAAGTTAAAAGGCTTTTAAAAATATATATTTTTTCCCGAACAGACTGAAAATGAAAAAGTGTCGTATAAAATGAAACAAATAAAATATATATATCCTACATAAAAATTTGTGCTTACCCATTGTGCCAGAAGCATCAGATCCACCATAAAAAGTGGCATGAGCACTCTGCCATCCAGAAGCAGAGAAACCATTTGCATTGAAAAAAAGGTTACAAAATCCAAATATGAAACACAATGCTAAAATGCCAATGTTGGCCATTTTCTTTTGTTAAAGCAAAGCAGCAGAAAAAGAAGAAATATTGAGATTTCTGTGGAGAAAGAAAGATTGAGGAATTAGAATTGGGATCACTTGTACAAATAATGGCTTAGCCAAGAAAAGTAGCTGCTACTTATATAGGGAGTTTTGGCTATTTAATACAACTACCTCACATGTGATTACTGCAACTAGGGTGGGAAGAAAAAAAGGACACCATTTATTTTAATGTTGTAAGGGATAATTGCACTTTTAATCCCTCAAAAACTGATAAATTTTGATTTTGGTCCTTATGATATAACTAAGCATATTAATATTGAATTAATTAAAATGTATGTTTATGGATCCCTTACCAGGGGCGGAGCTGCGTATTAAATTTAGGTGCTTCAGCACCCATTAAACTTTACACAACATAGGTATAGTTATATAAGAAATTTGAGGCATCTATTATAAAAGGAAAAGAAAGCACGTACCAACCAAATCATTAAGTAGTTACTATACATCAAGAAAAATTAAGCACCCACCAACATAAAATTCTGAATCCGTCACTGCCCCTTACATGGAAGAAATGTTATATCGAGATTATATTTAGTATTTTATTACTTTCAAATATGGAGTAGCAGTATTAATTTAATATAATACTCGGTAATAGAATGATTAAATCGTTAATAATTCGTTAAATGTGTAAAGATAATCAAAATTACACATTTTTAATTAATTGAATGTTAAGTATACTTGCAAAATATTATAAGAACTAAAATTAAAATTCGTCGATATATCAGGGACTTATAATGAAATTTCCCAAATTGTAATTTCTCTGCAGAAATATGAAAAATGTCTGGACCTTATTCAATTATTCCCATGTTCAGTATATCAAACCTATGTTCTGAACCACATGCATGGTTTTCCCAACAGAGAATCAGTATAGATCAAAATCCCAATCTCAATTTTCTCATATTTTTCCAAAATGTATTTTCTTGTTTGTTTATGCGACAAATAACTAATTTATTAAATGTTCTTCATAGGATATATAACAATATTTCACGTCAATTTTATCTGATGCAACCTCACATGGCCTTGCTTTGACATTACATGCATCTGTCCCATCATTCTCATGTGTAATGCACATGTTTGTGTTTTAAAACCTTTTTTATTTACCATTTTACTTGTCTTTGTGGTCCAATTAAATATTAATGATTCTGCATTATGCTTTGTACCTAGGTGCTAATTCCTTTTTGTTTTAAAATATTACCTATATTTTATAACTTAACGACAATTATACTAAGATCTATCTTGATAACATTTCCTGCAAATCTGCCCATCTAGGCTGGTAGATCGATGTAAATCCATCTTTGAGATATAGTATAAAGAGGGGGTTCCTCTTTTTTTGCTTTTTTATTTTTTTTAATTACTTTTATGCTAATTAATATGATTTGGTATAAACATTGAATTTCACAAGTCATTTCCAAGCTTTGCTTGTTACTTTTAAGTGTTTCTCGAGAAATTTTAGCGTGCGTAACATAATAAATGATGTGAATTACTCGTTTTACACAAGAAACGACTTTGTTATGATAGACAGACAATATATTTTGATCACCAAGAAAATCGAGTGAATAATCTTAGTAGTCATTTTAGAAATAGCGTTATGACTAGAAAATCATTCAAAACTTGATAGAAAAACCAGCGCTTCTACTACCCTAACGATTCAAGAAAATGTTGAAATCCAGCTGGATTAAGTTCGTAGCACAATCCATTATACCACAAGTGTGAAAGCTTTTCCATTTGTCACCATTTAGTTTATCAAAAAAAAAAAAATTACTAATTAGATTAAATTTGATTCTTTGGTCAATAAGGTTGGTTGATCATAAGTCTTTCCTCATTTACACCAAATTATGCCTTTAATTACGGCGTGTATCGAGAGAAAGTAGAAATATGTCTTTATTTTTGGTCTTTAGACTTTAGTAATAGAAAAATACTATTTTTGGAAGAAAATATGTGTTTAATGTGTTCCAATCTTGACAATACTTGAAACTACCCCATGTGATCATTGTCTCCACCGTCAAGCAAACACAGTTAGTTGATAGAAGAGTCTATCCTATGCTTTTTTGAATACCCACCATATGTTTATTATTTTTCTTCTTTTTTTGAGACAAAAATACCCACCATATGGTTTGTTCTTTTTCTTTTTCTAAGAGAAAAATAGGCACCATATGGTTTCTGATAACAAATTGTCAAACGGGACAGTACAGTACGTCGACACGTATATTAGAGGCATTGGCTGTAGAAAATCACAACTAATGACTGATTATATAGTTAATATATTGCATCCAATCTACTTATTAAAAAAGACACTTAGAACCTTAATCGTAAGAATATTTGTCAAACTTTTCGTGGTCCACAATATTTGATTTTTTCAAATATCAAGAAAGAATTAACTTTTTTTTCCTCCAAAGTTGCCCTTGGACTAAAGAGTCTCGAAGTATCTGTTATATTTCCAATGAACAAATTAAAAAGAAGTGAAGGTTAATATGCTTAATGTTATTGATAATTAATGTTAAAACGTGAATTCTTAATATGTGTAAAAACAACCAAAAAGTCAATTAAAGTGGACTCGAGGGAGTATCTCTTTTTCAATGTCTCACTCAATTAATAGTTCACTAATAAAAAATTTAAGGGCAAATTTAGGAAAAGAAACTGAAAAATAACTTTTCATTTTCCTAAAACGTTAAGTATATCGAAACAAATTTAATTTATCAAAACATATTTGATATAACAAAGAGTATTATCTAATCCAATCAAGTAAAACACTGTTGAATGCTAATCATTTGGACATTTTAACAAGTAAAAAGTTTGAATGGTTCAAGGTTTGAAATTGCTGATGATCTGTTTCAGAAATGATTAATATATCCAGTTTCCAAAAAACATATTAATATGCAAATAGCTTACAAAAATCTTGCAAAATCAAACGTGGACTTCTTATCGAAGAAGAATGTCAACGGGACAATTTTGCACAAAAGAGGCAAAAATATAAAGAAAAAGAAAAGGGCACCGCAATTGTTGCCAGGAATTAGAAAAGCTGTAGAACTATTGACTGGTCGGTCTATCATTTTATAACTCTCAGTATTGTTCTTTTCTTGAGAAACTGGTAAAAACAAAAGCAACTTGTATGACTTCTTTAAAGCTTTCAGATTTGCATTCACTTGTACGGTATTTTCTATATCTAATATATTGTCATTCTTGTTTTTACATCACCACATTTACATCATCCTATAACGTTCGAACATTTAATTTTAGTCCCAATATTTGTTAGGTTAATTTAGACTTGCTAGAGATTTTTATACACCATCCTAAGATGGCTCAAAGAAGAGAGGTATACCTCTCGCATCAATTATACACCATCTACTAACATTGGTTCATCCGAATCTTTAAGAAAGAAATCGACGATCCAAGTTCTTTTACCAGGCAAGAACTCGTAGGAGGTGAGAAGGCCTCTTACTCCTCCGACGGTGTTAGTCATATTGCACTGTTTCTTATGAACCATAGAGCAATCTATAATAATTCAACGTCATTGTAAAAGCAGAAGAGTAGTTTAATAGCAAATGAAGTATAAAAACGCAGCAGAAATTATGTAATTGGAGTATTCTGCCAACTAAAAACAGAGGCAAATTTACGCACTGAGGTCAACAACTGAACATGTCAAACACAGACAAATTAAAGAATGTGCTGCTCACTAAGCAAATTACACTTGATCAAGCACCTAATCTACCAGAAAGAAAATACTAGAAGATATCAAGAAAAAAAAAAAAACTCACCACATACGGGCGGTCGTGAAATCTATAATTAGTCTACTCTGATTACAGATCAATAACCTACTGTTAACACAGGTAACAACTGAGGAAAGAAAAAAACATAGAACATGGAGCAGGCACTCATTGCACATAATCTCTGTATTCTTCCAAGTTTGACCTTTAAGCACCACCTCCATGGATCGGCCCAGTAGTTCTGAAACCACGTCCCCTACCACGAGTTCCCCTCCCACGTCCACGGCCTACAACAAATAAAAACCTTAGTTACAGAAGGCAAGTATTGAAAGATCATTCAGATAACTAGCAGTTATTCTTCCAGTCCACGTCTGCTATTCGGAGATATGCATCTTCAAACGTGAAACAGAAAGAACACAGGCATTGCATAAACCCTATTCCAGCATGGATTTTCAGGAAACTTATATTGCTTCTGAACAAAACTGTTCACAGCACGAAGCATACCACATGCAACGCGGAAAAAATAGCCATGAAATATTAAGTTTTGAAAGGGCAAGGTGAGTTGATCATCGGCAGTGAATTAAATATGCAGAATAATCCCCAGAACATAAACTATGGAAAGCAAAGCTCTACCTCGGCCCTGCATGGGTGCTTCTTGATTGTAGAAGCCAGCATCTTGCTGGGTATCCTGAGGGCCATTGTACCCTCCCCTTCCACGGCCACGGAAGCTGCGACCTCTGCCTCGACTTCTACCCCTACCATAGCTCCGATTGCGATCATACCCACCATCATCGTATTCAGCCGACATAAAGCCATTTCCTGGATACGATAGCAGCCAGAATGTCATGAACAGTAATCATTTTTACTCGCATTCTTAAAATCAGCCAATTACACTATGAAGTAGAGCAACCCTCTACTCTTTCATAATTCCTTACATATAGGGGCATTTACGTATATGGTCAAAACAAGAGAGTATTCCTTTTTTTTTTTTTTTTGATAATGGTAGAAGAGAGTATTATATGTCATGAAAATTTCAGTGACTTTAAGCATAAGAATTCAAAACATCAGGTGGACGTCCAGGCATGACAAAATCTGAAGTTGGCACGTAACACCACCATCTCAACGAGCCTAGATTCATTGAAGCGGTCAAAATGAATTATTCCAACTTATAAAATTGTAATTTTCAGCGTAGAACGTCACTCGATGGAAATCTACCTCTTAGCAAAAAGCACACACACTTCTATACATGTATGTATATGTTAGCTGTTGCTGGGAAAACGATGTTCAAGGTTGACAATTGGCTTTTTTATCAGACCTTGGTATTCATCTTTTTCTTTGTTCTTTATTTCTATAAGATCTTAGCGTTCGTCATTAATGAAGAACATTATT